TGGGACGGTTGTTCTCTGCTTCTTCGTGATCGCCTTCCTTTAAGACGGGCAAAACCTCAGCCTTCTTCCAAGTACTTGGAAACTGGCATGTAGAATATAAAGACGCATTGACGATTGAGGTGATAGGTAAAAGGATTGCAGGGAGGCTATCTTTAATCACGCGTATAGGTATTTTATCATGGCCAGGTGCCTTATTCATTGGCATTGAGCGAATAACATTCTCGATTTCTCCGCTGCTCATCGGCTTAAAGAAAAATTGTTCATCATCTGGGTATTCTTGAGTGGGGACTGCTGGTTGTGTTAAGTCATAATTAGATTGAGCGGCCTTGGAATTTATTTGTTCAGAAGTTATTTGGCCAAGAGTCGTAAAATAAGTGTTAAACTCATTTGCAATGATCTTTTCATCTCTATTATAGGACTTCTGTCGCGTGGTTTGTTTTGGGATACAAGATCGTATTGTTTTCCAAATACTTCTTTTGTTGTTGGGATTACTCATTATTTGTTCCATGATATGCTCTTGTTCGGCTAATCTAATTTCTCGCCTCACTTCCTTCTTAAAATTTCTATAAGCCGCCCAAGCTAAGGTGTCATTTGTTTGTCTAGCCAATTTCCTCCAGTGGTCTCTAGTTTTCATGAGACATGCAGCGAAGTTCTTCAGTTATATAAACGGGTTTTGTCGACTTCTTACTTTAACTCTTTTGATAGGAGCATGCAAGTCCAAGATATTATTCAATATCAGGTTAAATGCATTAAGCTTGTCGTCTATATCATCAAAAACATTTATAACCGACCAAGGTGCGTACGACATATCTTGAGAAAACGAATTGGGATTATTTTGTCGAAAGCTTCTGGTATTAACATAAACAGGCTTTTGACGTTCTTTCTTTAACTTCAGGGTGGCATATACTAAGTCATGATCGCTTATTGAAATTGGTACCATATTAGATTCAATTATAAGCTCTTTGTTCGAAACGAGTATAACATCTAACAAAGTCGCTGTTATTCTCGTAGGTTGGGTTATTAGTTGGGCCAAGTTAAAAGTGGAGCAGAAATTCAATAGAGCTTGGCATGTAGGATCACCAGTGTTTAAGACATTACAGTTTAAATCTCCTAATATGTATATTGATTTACTCATCAGCAAGGCGGATACTAGGGTGCGACTAAAATCCGTTTCAAAACAATTTAAGGGGGCATTTGGTGGTCTATAGGCAGTACAGATTAAAAAGGATCGTAAATTTCCAACCTGAACTTTGAGCCATAACATCTGTAGGCCTGAATCTGCTATATATGATAAATCATTCAAACTGCTAATCTTAAAATTATCCTTCGTGTAGACACACACACCGCCACCTACTCTAGATACGCGATCGAGTCGATAGATGTTGTAGCCGGGGATCCATATTTCAGCATCAGTAATAGAGTTATCGAGCCAGGTCTCGTTGATTGTCAGGATATCAAACTTGTGTTTCATTAATGCTTCTTTCACAAGGAGAAAACTATTTCGATTTTTAATAGAACGAATATTCAAATGTGCAATTTTAATATTCGAATCTAAACACTTTCGCCGAGTTTCACTTCTCCCCGCTTCTTCAGGACTTGTGTTTGGGCCAGGGTTTGGTGAAATATCCCCACTAACCAGCTGGATGTTGCATTTGGATAACGCTTAATTCTGGCTGAGAAGAATCCCTTGCCATAGATCTTGACTGAACCAACATGGCGGCTAAATTTGTAAGATGAAGGTGAAACCCAAAGACAGCCAACATTTTCTTCAGCAACAATAAGAGTTTTGCCAAATGTAAACAGTGAAGGTTTACACGGTTTTAACTGAGAATTATAATAGTCGTTTTTCTCAAACCCAACTATTAAATAATATAAAATAAACTGCAATATTAGAGCGCAGCTTTTGCCACGTCCGCACTGCATTATCAAGGTTTTTAGTAAAGTGCTTATAGCCAGCTGAAGTTTCTTTTAATTTTACTGATGCGAAGTCGTTTAAGAACTGAATACCGAAGAACGTGGTCGTGGAGCAAAACTTGCATGCAAGGACGTCAACTTAAAGCCATGTTACCTCGAAAGCTAGAGTTGAAGACATTGTTTTTTTTTAATTAATGCATTCGACTCAATGATAAAAAGTATTCCATGCACATGCTTCTATCTCACTGACTTGCCCCTGCATGGTTGCATTGCATGCTTAAAACAATGCACATGCATGCATTACATCATATTGTGATACAGTATAATGTACCTTGCTTTTTGGCAGGCAAAAGTACATTTAATTAACCCATGAAATAGCATGCATGCAAAGCATCGTTCTTTCCAAATGCCATACTATAGTCGGCATAGTTGGTAGTTGCCGAACTTTTGATGCCATGTCTCCGTGTCAATTACCTTACAGTCAAATCATATTTAATTCAAACAAAGATCAACAGACGAAAGGCTGTTTAAATTTTAAATTGTACCAAACTGATCGACAACAATGGAGATGAAATTTATTCGCTTTTAACGCTGGAAATGAACGCTTTCAGCTGGCGTGCAATTACAATGTTGGTTTTACTATATCAAGACAGTGCTAAAAGCTAAATGATATAAGAAAAGAGAAAACAAGATAAGGCAAAGAACACAAACACAGAAATATCGCTTTCCAAGCGTTATAAATTGTTTGCAATATGCAAGTTTAGTATAATATATACAGGGTGTATAAAAAAAAAGGAGACTTTTAGAAATCAAGCATATTTTTAAAATTTGAATGCCTTTTCAATTGTACATATTATGCTGAACCGTGGTGCGTGAAATATTGATGGGGTGCATAAATTAGAAAAAGGAGACCTTAAGAAAATGAAATAACGTTTAAACACGAGATTGTTCGCTCCTGGGAACAATCTGCCATGCATACTGTACGTAGATCGCATGTTACGCACTCGTGGGCTTAGCAAAGTGCTCCAGGATTCAAATTATAACGATGGTTGATTTCTAAAGGTCTCCTTTTTCTAATATATGCACTCTATCAATATTTCACGCACCACGGTTCAGCATATGTGCAATTGAAAAGGCATTCAAATTTTAACAATATGCTTGATTTCTAAAGGTCTCCTTTTTTTTATACACCCTGTATACAGTAGTGTACGACCAGCCAGAAATCAACAGAAAATACAATGAATACAAAATACATCAAAACGACTGCATCGTTACCGCCTTATATAAACTGACTAATGACATTTGATGAGATTCCCCGTATTTATAGCATCATGCATGCAAAGCATTCTGGTCGATTAACAGCGATGCAATCTGGTCGGTTAACAGCAGTGCATTCTGGTCGGAGAAACGGAAGTAAAATCTTACTTTCAGAGCCCAATACGAATTAGAACTGCTGACTTGCTCGCTCGCGTCAGGTTCGCTCGCTGCGTCGGCAATTAGCGTAATTAAGAGCTTGGATTCTTAATAGAGAGGTTAAGATACCCCGGTTTCGGTGTACGGGTACGAGTAGTGTCATCTTTTTTTACTAGAGAGTTTGAGCAAGACAACGAAGTACGAAGACGAAGGCATACTTGACAATTTTTGCCGTCTGCACATCATCTTGCGCATACTGAGTTGGACGTCACTGGTGGTTGCTCAACGTGTCTTCCCATGTGTCGCTGTTTATGAAAACTGACCCTAATTCTTGCCCTGACCCAGAGAAAAACAGCGAGACACGAAACTATATCCCGTCTTTGTCCTTCTGCCTTCGTGCAGAACGAAGTTCACAACGAATTTTGTCAAAATATTCGTTGTGGGCGAAGGCAGAAGAACGAAGGCGGGATATGGATTCATGTCTCGCTGTTTTATCCTGATCAGGGTAAGGATTTGAGTCAGCATTCACAAACAGCTAGACATGAATCTCTAACCTGTCTTCACTCCTGACCCTAAACTCAGAATGCGCAAGATAATGTGCAAGACAGGAAAAAATTGTCAACCACGTCGTCGTTGTCCGACTTCGTTCTCTTGCTCAAACTCTCTACTTATGTCTGTAATTCGATCATACTTTTTCTGTTTTCTTGAAATAGACAATGATATAATGCGAAAAATGTGCACCTTAATTACGAGTAAAAGTACAGACATCGACGAAAATATTGCTAACAAAAATCATGCTATACTCGTACCCGTACACCGAAACCGTGGTATCTTAACCTCTCTATTAACTGGGGCGTGACGCTGTGCCGGAATATATTTCGCTTGTTTCTTACATTTTATTTCAAAACGATTCTGTGTTTACTGTAGTCGTCACTGAAAGAACACACGCTTCACTTTTTAAATATTGGCCATGCAGTTTTAACTCAGATTTACACTTTGGAAAACACGGTTACCATGCACGAACACGGTTACCATCCTGCATCCTACTGAACCTTTTTCAGCTGAGTTACCATTCAACAACAACGTTTTTATTTGTATTTGTATAGTACTTGGATATCTGCATGAATGTCATGCAGATATGCAAGTACTATACAAATACAAATACAAATAAAAACGTTGTTGTTGAATGGAAACTCAGCTGAAAAAGGTTCAGTAGAATGCAGGATGGTAACCGTGTTCATTTCTAGAGTGCGACGAATTATGTCGTGGTCTAGTATCTAAAGAAATGCCAGTTCCAAGATTGTTTACAAGATAAAATAATGACTTATTTGTAACCTACGCTGTTATAAACCCGGAAGTAACTTTCTCAACAAAGTTGTGAATAAACGCACACAGCGAGACTTGTGCACTGTAGCTTAAGTAATATTTCAAATCCGAGTTAGTGTTTTAGACGTGGTTTCTAAATACAAGTGCCATGAACAATGGCGAGGCGCAGCCGAGCCATTGTTCATGGCACTGGGGATTTGGAAGCCAAGTTTAAAACACTAACGAAGATTTGAAATTGCCTCTCACACATCATTAGACTTTCATAGCAATGAGGCATGAAATTATTAGATATTCAAAAAAGTGAGCGTGGGCATTAACGATTACATTCGCTTGAAAGTTTACATGAAGTGCAACGAAGCATTCAGTTCGCTTTCGTCGTGAATAGATGAATTTTGTTGGCAAAAGAGCATGGTATCTTCTTATAATATAAGAAAAAGCGGTTTCGAGAACCAGAAAGTGTTGAGCACAGCATTGTGCACAGTATTGTCGCTCGGCTGACAAGGTTGGGGATCCGAAAAACGATATACCAGATTGTGTGTGCGATAAGGCGCTATCTGGTGGAAAATGAAAGAGCCGAAGTGAATATATATTTTATAGACGGTAAACATTACTGGTAAGTTGCTGTATTATAGTGTTTAAAGCGCTGTTTATTATGATAGTTGGTAAAAAAGTTTGGTTTTCCTATATTTATGTGGTTTTCAAACGTTTAGGAAAAGTGTTAGCTATAAAGTGTAGTTAGAATACTACTTACTGTATACAACTTACTGTATTTAGAAATAATTCTAAACATAGCAATTAAATATATTTGCATAATCTTTTGTTTACGCCTCAATTTTCCTATTGTTCAAAGCCCTTCCCACTAGAAGTAATTAAAGTCCTGCTCTAGATGGGGTATCCAGATAGATACACGTGATGCAAATTAAATCATGTCATTGGCCGAAATGCTATGAATATCTAATGATGTATGAGAATGTAAGTTGCAAACAGTCTGATTTTGTTACATTAATTGGTTTAATTTGTTACAGTTCTTGAAGCATAAAGGTGAGTCCATTGCATTTTTTGTATTTCCTTATAGCTTCTTCTCGAAGTTTTAATTCAAATTACACGGCAATATTCAGTAACTAAGAGGTTTCCAAATGTAACGTAACTTCCACCAACAAAAATATTAATGGGATGACTTTTTGGATAAACCGAACTGACCGCCTACCTCAGTTTGCAGAGCATTGGGCTAGTATTCCAAAGGTCGTAGGTTCGATTCCCACCGTGGCCGGGCATATTTTTCAAGCTCGCCCGGTGCGGATGTACACTCAGGGTAACATCACAAATATCATATTCACCTGTGTACACAACACCAACACAGAAAAAAAAACGCGGATATGACTCAGAAAGGGCTGAAAAAGTTTTATGAACTATATCCGCGTTTTATCCTTTTGGATAAAACGCGCATACGACTTAAAACGGCCTGAAAAAGTTTTCTGAATCCATATGCATGGCCACAGTGGGAATCGAACCTGTAATGTAGTCACGTCATGTCACGTGATGTAATATATATTTAGGTATCAGAAAGAGTAGTCCGTGTGTTGTGACCTCGAAAAGTGCCTAGAAAACAATTTTCATTAAGCATGTCTTAGAACTGAAATACTTTTACGGGAACTAACACTTTTGAACACGCTGAGTTCAAATCCGAAAAGTTCCCACTCCCTAGACCCGCAGTTTTTTTACAAAATGCTATTTTATCTTCACTAATTTCACAGCAAATTTTTCCATTGTTCAACGTCACGGATCGATGACGATACACTATTATGTCACTCAAAAGGACCAATTTTATTAACCATTCTTCCTTTAACAAAAGACCGGTTTTGCTCGAATCATTTTGAGTTATGTAATCTTATGCGTGTTGGACGTAAACAACATATCTTGTCTACAACTTTGAGAAGGTACAGATAATTCTTTATAATATTCTTAGTTCTGGAACTATCTCTATAAAATCAAAAGGACGTTAATGTCAAGTCTTTGGGCTATGTCTCTGGGCCGAGAAATAATTCCTTACATGGGATCAAAATGTTTTATACAAAGATATAAAACGGGAATCTATATGTAATGGATCAGCATGGAAATTTCCAACACGGTTTCCAAGACGTAATTCAAGAGATAACTTATCATTGCATTTGAACTATTATATCAGTTGGTGTTATACTGTGCGATAAGCGAGTATTATTGGAAAGAGGGCTTCTATATACGTCGAAATCATCAAATAAACAGCTCATGCACACATTTCTCCACTTCGCGGTAAGTTTACAGAGCATATTTTATACTTTGTGACTGATCTTTGTCTTTGATGTGAACATTTATTCCTATAGCTTAAGGTTATTTAAGATTGATCCTGTCGTAAGTCTTCTACCTGCAAGCATTCGACAATATTTCGTTTTAACGTTGTCTTTGCCGTTACGTTGGCTTTGCGTTACTTTTGTTTTAAATATCTTGATCGCGTTAAATTAGTTACTTTTCTCGCCAGTG